AAACTAATTTACATTAATTTACTTTTCACTGACAGCAAATACAGCAGACTTATTAGTGCTGGACGTCAGCATCGTCAACAGGTAGACTACCAGGCGATGCATTATTGGTCAGAGAAACTGGAAAAGTATTCCAACGTGTATAGCTGGAAAACAGCACACTGAGCTACAATTAACCAAATTAACAAAACAAAGCACCATTATGCGTGTTGGAGTCGAATCGATGCACATGAATATCGGGTAATGGATGCAATATGTACGCTCCATCCGGCAGCACAATAACACCTTTCTAAAACAAAATTGTACTTGTGAAGCCTTGATTTTTTAAGAGACACAAATTGGCAATTCTTTTAGAAAAACGCTCTTGAACGGCCATACGTGCATCGAAGTATATTCGATCAATGCCCTTTCCCATAAGAATAAAAATTTAAGAATAACTTTAAATTCAATGTGAATGAGGAATTTTATTATCCTTCAAATTTAGTGCATTAGGCAGGGTTACATGCGCTATTACTAAAACCCAATAACTACTGAAATTCGACTCGACTAGATTCTTCTCGGTAAAAAAATACGTACTGAGAGGGCGAGGGTTGCTTTAGACCTCGGAGATCTTAAAAGAAGGGAGGATACTGGGTTCTTAACTGGAAAGGCCTTGCTTGAAGGTAAGAACTGGAAACGGGTGGACGCCTCAACCACGTCAATAATCAAAACTCAGCATAGCTCGGTTCGGCTTGGCCGGCGTCATGCACGAATCGAGAAAACTTCTTCTTGCTGATGGTGAGTGGGGTTTTGATAATGGCATACAACGGAAGGCCGCTTGTAGGGTTTTCTCAAAAAAATTTGCTATTTTTCAATTTATTAATTATACTATAGTGGTATACTGGAATAATAAAAGTCTTGTTATGTTTTAGCTGTAAAAATAATAAAAAATTTCTTTGTATTTTATTGGCAGTGGAGGTAAAATTCTCTGTACATTTCGATGATAAAAATGTCATGTTTCAACGATAAAAATAAAAAAATTTCAGTGACGATTGTAATAAAAGGCACATTTCAGTAACAAAAATAGCAGAAATCTCGTTACATTTCGCTGGTAAAAGTTATGAATAATAAGTAACCTTAATAACGTGTCAAATTACTACTGGTTTTTAGATCTATCAAAAAACTTTTTTCGAAAAATGGTCGATATGCTTTTGGTCCTGTTTCTGTAGTTACGCCACAATCGGAAGAAAAATTGGCAGGAAAAGAGGATGTGAAGCAGTCATGAATTATGTACGCTTTTTTCGAGCATTCGAAAGTTCGCTGGAACGAAAAGATGGAAAGCAAAACTTGCAAATTATTTCTATTCTACAACCGTAGTAATGCAATTTTTCAATAAAAGCAAAGATAGAACCAGTTGAAAAACTCAAAAAAATGTGTGACATTAGGTCTGCTACGTGAAATTAAATTTACATTCAATAACTTGATAGTGAGCGGTTCTGCAACTTTTGGAAGTTTTGAATAAAAGCACGAATGATGTATTCGATTTTATAAAATTATGGAACGACTTATTCACATAATGTCGTTGTTCCATAAAATTATGGAACAACGACATTATGTGAATAAGTGAAGCTCAAAATAGACGAGAATGGTAAAGCCATCATCACTGGTGAGAGGAAACGCGATGATGAAACGACAACTCATCAACGTATCCGAGTAATGAAATAAGTTAAATGATAGTAACAATAATAATAGTGATAACAATAACAGTAGCAGTATTAAAATACGTATAAAAGAAGTAAGTTGGTGACAGCAGTATTAGTAATAATAGTACTAGCGTTAGAAAATGAAATTTCGAGTGATAATGTTATGCTGATATTATAAGCAGTTTAAGAACACAGTTTTATCCCATCTGTTCCCTAACCTCTGCCACAGTCTTCACAAAAATTGTATTTCTGATTCCTGCTTCGGACGTCCTGCTGAATCAAATGAGGTATCAACGACACCTCAATTATACGTAAGCTCGGACACAATGTGACATGAAAGCTGATTTGGTTCTGAATTCATTCACGACTCGGAACAGGGTAATCGAAATTTCAGCTTTCTAGCTTTCGTAAATCACAAATCAAGTGATCCTTACAGATAAGTATAGACACGCCCATACATGTATGGTCCTGGTGTCATGCATTTTGGTTTTGCAGAAGAGTAAAAAAGCACAAAAATCACGGTCGGTTAACTGTAAATAATAAAAAGACGAACGATATTTCCATCGCAACTGCTAATAGCCGCGTAAACTTCGGGCGACCGGTGCTGATAGTGGCAACTGGTTGGGATGCGACCGACTTCCAATGTTCCACCGCCGTGCTCATTCCGGAAAACGGTTGTTAGATGAGGTGAGACGAGGGACTGGATACTGGGCTCCAGCGTCAAATTCATCTGTCTGCCATGAATGGTCACTCGCAGCAACTTCAGTTGCCCATCATTCGTATAGTCTGCCTCCGGATAGAGTTCTTCGTGAACTGGCACTTAAAATGCAAATTAATTAAAGAAACCATTATGCCAAAAACCACTCTAATGCTTAGTCGAGGATATAGTGCAGCTGTGACCTTTTTTATTAGAGACAATACGTACTAAACAGCATACCAAGATTCCAACTCAGGACCATTATCGTGATGTGACAGTAGCGCAACGAGCCTAGCGATACCTACGAGCAGCAGGGTACAAATCTCGGCTTCTGTAAGCATGTCAACAAGACTGTGCGCCTCATTTTCTCCGATTAAGCTCGAGTGGCTACGGATCATTATCAGCATGAACAGTGGTTGGTTATGCAGTAAAAATTAAACAAACAACTATGAAATGACAGTAGATAACACGTCACTGTTCGAAGAACAAATTAATAAGTTAATTTGCAATCCTTATAATAACGATGATTGTTTTTTGAAAATAGAATTATAGCAACAGTTACAATTGGTATTTTCTAATATCAGTTATTGTTACGATCACAACTGCTCTTTTCTGATAAATATTTTTTGAAAATTTGCCATTAATAAGGCATTAATAAACACGATATTTTTAACAGTGATCTAAAGCGAACGAATGATGGTAACTGAATGCTTTTCGTCTCTCCACTTCCCCGCTTTACTCTCTCGAGAATCTCTTCCACCAAAGCTCACAAAAAAT